AGCTCACATTTACTGATCACTGGATATGCCAGGCATAATCCTAATTATTTTGTGTATATTATTTCACTTAATTCTCAATGATCCCAGGAGTTAAATTTACTGTTTTCTTTTTCTTTTTTTTTTTTTTTAGTTTTAGGTGAACACAATACCTTTATTTTATTTATATGTGGTGCTGAGGTTCAAACCCAGTGCCTCACATGTGCTAGGCAAGTGCTCCTTCACTGAGCCACAATCACAGCCCTAAATATCACTGTTGACACCATTTTATATATAAACGACTAAGGCATGATGATGCAGTTTATCCAAGGTTTCAACATGCCATGTACTTTTTCTATGCCTCTGGGTCTTTATTACCTCAAAAACCTTCCCACCTAATCACCCTCCAAAGCCCTACTCCAAGGTTATTTTTGTGATTTCATGTGCCACACTGATGTTGTCAGAATATATTCAATAAATGTTTAGTTAACATAAGGTCTAGACAAAGGACCCAAAGAAGTTACAAAATAGGCACCAAAGAAGTATTTGACACGCTTACATTGCAATTGTTTTTCCAAAGATAAGCCTAATGGGAATGTATTCTACACTAGTTAAGTAACTGAGATAGAGACCTATGAGTGAGACAATGTTGATTAAGAAAGCAAAGGCTTTCATGCACCAAAGAGGAACAGTAATGTCAGGCTAATGAAACACCCACCATCAACTGCAAAGTCCAAATCTTTCTTAGGTTTTCACATAACAAATACATGAACATAAACATCAACTGCCTAAACCTAGTCACCCCTACTCTGACCTATTAGTTTCTTTAGCAATTCAAGAAAAGGTATAATGCTTTTTCTCAGACAATATATATATACACATACATATGTCCTCCAGTTTAAAATATATTTTCATTATTTCTATTGGAGGAAAGAGATAATTATTAAAGACTTCTTTACATTCATGAATTCACCTGAAAGACTTACAGATTATCCTTCAAATATCTAGAATTATTCCAATCACCCTCAGCAAATCTCTCCAAATGATTCATATTTTAAACACAAAAACACAGGTAAAAGAAAAAAATCCCCAAATTACAATGAATAAAGATTAATGGTTCAAATTCATTCTGTCCCCTGCCCCCTTATGAGTTAGCTTCTCTTAAGCTAAAGTTCTTCAGAAGACATCAAAAATGGAATAAATGAAAGAGAACACTAAGGAAGAAATAGATAAGAGCCTGCAGGACACTCTCCTTCCACTTATTAAGTGTTTACTATGAACCAGCGACTCCTTCACAAGTAATTATAAGTTCTTGTTTTTTTGGCTTTTGCTTTTGGGTGTTGTTTTTGTTGTTAGTTTGGAGATTGAGCCCAGGACATCTTAGAGGCTAAGTGCTTGCTCTACACCAAGCTACACTCCCTGCCCCAAGTAACCATAAACATAAATTCTTAACAATGACCTAAAGCCAATAAAGAAAAATAGATGTTTAAATTATGCACCATACAAAAAAAAAATAGGTGTGGTCTAAATCAACAAGCAGAAGGAAAAGGGACACCTAGGAAAAGAAACACTGACCGGTCGAATTCTCTTGAACTTGGAGTCCTCATGGTCTCTGTGCGGCCCAGAAGTGCTGCTTCTCTCCCTGACATTTCTATAGCCGGGACTGGGGATGATGTACTCTTTTCCTATGTCAATATCCTTCATCTTTGCTGAGTGGAGGTGCCAGGGTTCACAGACTCTTGGTTTCACTCAGAATTTCTGAAATTAAAAATTCAACAAGAACAGATATTTCCTACACTGTGTTTAAACATGTTCTAAAATACTTTTGGAAAAAAGGGCTAAAGTATTAAACCTATAAAAAGCTGGGCACGGTGGCACACACCTGTAATCCCAACTACTTGGAGGCTGAGGCAAGAGGATTGCAACTCAGTGAGACCCTGTCTCTAAATAAAATACAAAAATAGGGCTGGAGATGTGTCTCAGTGAGAGAGTGCCCTTGAGTTCAATCCTCAGTACCACCCCCCCCACCCCCGGGAAAAAAAAGAAAAGAAAACAGCCATAAAAGGTATTAAGCTATAAAAGTGATTTTTCAAAATTTCAGAACTATCATTTCATTTTTTTTAAACAAAAAAAAATCAGCATAACAGAATCAAGAAAAATTAACTTCTCCCACCCCCAAGGGAAAAATTTTTAAAAACATAATAAACACACTACTAAAGAAATATCCACCCATTTCAACTACATTCAAATGCAATAGATGGAACATTTAGATAATTTTTTTCTTTTTCAGACTTTCTAGGAAAAATCTATTTGTTCTAAACATTATAAACTCAATAATTTTAAAAGATATCATTTCTTCTACCAAATTTTATTAAATAAAAACTTATAAAACACTTATCCTACAATGATAAATCCTATCTCCTTAGTTTTATAATTAGCTAATAGATTAGCTCATGTTGTTTTTAAGCTCCATGCAATTACACAGCTAAAATACAAAATAATAGGATAAAATTTTAAACATAAATTTCCCCTTGGGATATTAAAAATGTCATATATATCTCCAACAACATTAAATTGTATACTTTAAAAGGATGAATTTTATAATAAGTTAAATCTCAGTAAAGTTGTTATTTAAAAACAATAAATTCCCCATTCTTACCTAATTTCCACCTGAACCTCTGTTCTAAACCACCGCTTGCTTGGTTAACTCTAATCAATACTCCTCTATCAACTCTGGTCACTTTTTAAAAAATAAACACATAAGAGCCTCTCTAAAACATTCTCCCACTCTGAAGGTTTGCAAGTTCCCAGATAGAAGCTGAGAAAACATCTTCCACAGCAGTCTCACTAGAAATTACAATGTAGCACAAATCCAGGGCTCTCCCTGTGACTTAGAAGTACAACTCCTCCAAGCAGCACAAAATTCTGACAATTATAACTCATTTTAAGTGTATCAGAAAAAAAGAGAAAAACACTTACTAATCCTCTACCTAAAGAGGACTAAATCTACTCCACAGAGACAGGTTACCAGCACAAAGAAAACTTGATTTCTTCTTTTCAAAATCCGGATTCAAGTACCTTAAATTGATATTGCTAAGTTATTTATCTTTAAAAAAAAAAATCACCTTGTCCAATGACAAAGTGCACCATAAAGAACACCAGCTTACTAAGCAAGAGCACAGCGATCACGTCATTGAGACCTCATTAAGGATAAACTATAAACAGACCTGGCATCTGCCAGTGTCCCCACTGTCCAGCTGTAGCTGCAGATCAGAGGAACCCTTCTTGTTACCATGATCACAGAAGTCCAACCTTCCCCTCCATAGGTTCCCTACACAAGCAGATTATCTGAAGAGGATTAGTGCTACTTTTTAAATAGTCAGGAAGGGAGACAGGTAGGGAGCTTGAAAAAGGCTGGGCCAAGATAACCAACTCATTCACAATATCAAATCCCACATTAAGAGCAGCTCAATAACCTAAGAATCCAGGATAGCTAAATGCTTTCAACTACTTTATTTCAAAGGAAGAGCAGAATCAGCAGAACTCTTGAGTAGATAGTGGCAGGGATGAAATTATTTCTGTTATGATAGAAATAATTATTGTTTTGTTGTATCTATTGTGACTGGTGTAAGATAGGGACCCTAGTGAGCTACCCTAAGGGACCTATCCTAAACTATCCTGTTCTAAGGAACCAAGTTATTCTAAATATGAAAGGTATGAGGAACTGTTTCCATTATCTTTAACACCTCCATATCTCAAAATTTCCTGGAAAAAGGGCTAGTCATGAGAGTAGATAGGCTCTGAGTAGGCACAAATTTACTCCTCTTGGCCTTGAACATACGGAGGACACCATCTTCTGTATTTCCGGGATATGACAGGGCACTCCACGTGGAGGTCAGCTAAGCAAAAGGAAGCCAAATAGATTTAGGAGGGAAACAAGACCCTACTCTGAAGCAGCTAAGGATAGATCAGACTTTTTTTTAAAATATATACTATTTATATTTTTTTTCCTCCTGTTCTACCTTGAAGTTGTTGGAAAGTCTTTCAAAAGCTAACTTGTCTCAGCTATAAAGGGTAAATGAAAAGAAGGGGATTTTTAAGGTAGCGGCAGAGCTGGGTAAGGGCAGAACAATAATAATGAATGTGGGGGAACCCCAATGAAGTGCTTAGACTCAAAATTGACTGGGTTGAGGCCAGCTGGTCAGCTAGCTGCCTTTTATATCAAGAAGTCTCCTGCCAGTGATAAAAGGGTAGACACTCTCCCTGCACAGCGACACAGACGCAATTGCAAGAGGGAGGGGGGCTGCGCAGGTTTACAAGAACAGTAACCAGGCAGACTGGTGTTTCCAAGTGCCTTATCACAACATTCCTGAGTAGTTTCCAGTACCTCAGAGGCCAGGCCCTGAAGCTGGCACAAGGAAACCCTGAAGCTAAAAGGATACATATTTACCACGCCCCCTGCAATCCACTTGTGCCTCCAAGCTTCCAGCCTTTCATTTACGCTAAAGACCACTGTATAAGCTATCCATCTCCTCCTTCAAAACCTTCAGAAACTTTCCCAATCGTTCCTGCGCCTACCTGTCTCCAGCTTCCCACGTTTGTGCCGAACCAAATGACCCTGTGTGGTAAATACAAAGCAACGCACAGCTCGGTGTGGTAGAGGTGAAAAGGGCACCCGATGACAGTCAAGAGAAATGGGTTCCATTCCCGGCTCTGCCACGGGCTTGCTGTTCTTGCTTATGTCACGTACCTCCATTTACCCGTTTGCAAAAACGAAGGGAATCACCGACTTTGGAGGTGGCTGATAGCGCGATCTCCGGTCCGCGGCTTGAGACCGGTGCCCAGGCCTCCCGCCCACAACCATTGAGGTAGAGTCTTTTCTCAGGCCAGCTTCGCTGGAGGAGCCCCTGCCTTAGGGCGTTCCCACCGCCAGCAAGGGCCTGGCGAGGCTAGGCGAGGCGGTGCGATTGCTACCCACACCCACCGCCCGGGAACGCAGCACCCCCTGGTGGCCGCACCCGGGGATGGAGCCGGCACCCGACCACTCACTCCAACCCTATCTGCCTGCTTTCAGACGCAAAGACCCCATCGAAAGCCCCCTGAGGGCGCGACACAAGAAGAGGACAGTGGGAGAACAGAAGGAGGCCAGGCCTCGCTTCTCAAGTCTCCAGCTTCCCGCGAACTGCTGGAACCCCGATCACAGCCCGCAGCACCACAAGGAAAGGCAAGGGGGTGATCCTCCTGACAATCAAAGGACACGGTAGGGGTAAGGTAGAAGCCGTCACCTACCTGCACCCCAGCTCCCAGATAGGAGCGTTGGCCACTCAACCACGCTCCGGAGCATCTGCACCGGAGCAAAACAAGCCTTTATAGCGGCATCGGCTGCCACATCGCGCAAGCGCGCTGCACAAATCGTTCGGAAGACTGAAGGGAATTGTAGTCCCCCTTCCAGGAGCCCCTGGCTCCTCATGCAGCAAAGGACTGCATTTCCCAGAAGCACCGCACACACCGGGGATGGGGTGGGAGCTACTCCTCTTTCCACCGCGCTCCGGGTACTGCCCCATCCTTCCCTTATCTTTGGGAGCCTGCCTGGAATCTTCTTTGAGGTCGTGTGTCCCCATGGGTATCCTGTAGGGTAGCCGGTGGCTCTTCATTCGCAAGCAACCTGATGTTCGTAGGCAGAGCTGTCAAACCATGCGTGGCCCTTCATGTGCCAGAAAATACTGTGAAGGTCATCGTTGCTTGCTTCTGCTTGAAGAAGAGCCTTCCCGGGCCCCCCAGCCACAGACCTCATTATCTCTTGTGGCACTTACCACCGGTTTACGTTTGCTGGCTCCTGATTCGACCCTACTACATTCTGCATAGTCCACCTTTCTCACTTTTGTCCAAACTGTCCATCACATAATGTGCTGCCTAGATCACAGTTTTAAAAGTGGCAAGAGCCTTAGAAGTGGTATGCAAACTCACCTTTTATAAATAAATAGATAGATAGATAGATAGATAGATAGATAGATAGATAGATAGATAGATAGATAGATAGATAGATATGGGACTCTCAGACCAACCATTTCCTTTTTATTTTATTTTATTTTATCTGTTCCTTCAGCAGCATCATAATATGAAGATTGCTCTATTGAGTGTTTTACATAACAACTTTCTTGCTTTTACTTTCCTTAAACCTATTTGTAGGTAGGTATTATGAGATTTTGAAAGTAGGTAAAGTGACTTGTCCCTTTTCAAACAACTAATTAGCTAGTGTGAAGACACTAACATAAAGCTGAAGTTACTGACAGTGTAGGTTTTTTTGTTTGTTTGTTTTTTGTTTTGTTTTGTTTTGTTTTTGATGGGGATAGATACCCGGGATTGAACTCAGGGGCACTCAATCACTGAGCCACATCCCCAGATCTATTTTGTATTCTATTTAGAGACAGAGTCTCACTATGTTGCTTAGCACTTTGCCATTGCTTAGACTGGCTTTCAACTCACAATCCTCCTGCCTCAGCCTCTCCAGCCCCTGGGATTACAGTGTATTCTTGAACACAGATAAATTAATAGACCAATGCAGTAGAATAGAGAACCTAGAAACAGACACATATGTGTAAATTTGATCAGTGACAGAGACAACCTTCAACATCTGTGGGGAAATAAAGACATTAAACAAATAACACTGGAAGAGTTAATTGTCCATATAAAAGAAAAACTTACTACTTCATACTGCACAGAAAAATCTGGGGTAGATCAAAGACTCAGGTATGAGAAAACTTAAAAACTTTTAGAAAAAAGTAGGAAACATCTTTATGAACTTAGGAGTAAGAGAAAACTCTTGAGATTAAAAAATAAAGGGAAGGTTGATAATTTTTTACTATATTAAAATTAAAACATGTATAAGATGCCATAAAATGAAAGATAAACCACAAAATTAAAACTGATACTTAAAATACAAAATATTCAAGTAATTTCTACAACTCAATAAGAAAAGGAAAGTGCTATGAAAAACAGCTCACAGAAAAAGAAACCTGAGCAACTTCTCAAATATGAAGACACCCAATATCACTAATCATCAGGAAAATGAAAATTAAAGTAGCAATGAGATCCCACCTCCTAAAGAATCCATCCATGCCTCAAATACTGTAGCACCCAACAGCTGCAAATCTGATACCTTTGTATAAAATTTTTTAAAACTACCAAGATGTCCCTGAAATGCTTCAAATATACTTATTATAGTTTCTTTGAAAAACAATGGATATGTACTATTCAGCATTGGTGCCTGGCTTCAAAAAACTGTAGCCCTGTCTTGGTCTGTCTAAGAAACTATACTTCTTTACATGATATTGACAATAATATATGCCCTTCTTGAAACGTGTCTGGGTTGTGACATATTTTGGGGGGTAATATTCCCTAAACTTCAAGAAAAGAGGAAATTGCCCCCTCAAAAAATAACTGGCATTCAAAATTTTAAAAAAAAATGACTGGTGTTCGAACACTAGTTGCTTGCTAAAAAGGGGGGCGGGAAATGACAGCAATGATCTTGTTTTAGCAAAAAAAAAAAAATCATCCACTATAATAAACTAATGTTATTTGTAGTCTTGATATACAATTTGCAAATTTAATTTTATAGTGATATATGAGCTATAAGCATAAGCACTTTGTACACGGTTTTATTAATGTACATATTTAAGTAATATTATAATGAAAGTGACTTAAGTCAGCCTCAGGTATTTAAGAGAATTGTTTCTCAAAAGAGGTCTGAGCCTTAGTCTAGTTTGGGGAACACTGGACAACAGATCAACCAAACTTTAGCTTGGTACAAGTCCTTCTGTGATCTGGTCCCACAAAACACCACAGACAAATCAAATAATCTAGCCTAGATAGAGCCTTCTTAGGCCAGAAGCCTTCTTAGGCAGACTTAGTATAGAGCAAACTTCCCAGACATTCCTCAAAACTTCTTAAGTGTTTTTCTATAAAAAGGGGCTTTTGATCAGAAGAGATAAACAACTGTGGTCTACATTAGTAATAATAACCATTGTTTACCCTGAATATCAGCTTGAGAAAAATTTAAAAAATGTATACAGACTGCATTTACTTTTCAACCAAAATAGTTTAATTATTGACACCCATTAGGATAAATGTGTGTCAATAATTGAACTTTTTTGATTGAAATAATTTTAAGATAAGTGTATGTGTGTAAATCATAAATTATATGCTTTATTTATTAGAAGAGACCACCAATGGAGAAAATCAGCATACCTTTCAACTACTAATGTTACTCTGTGGGCATATTTGAAAAGTACCAATACCAAAGCATTCTTTTAGACCCTCATCCCCCAAATTAGAACTAGGTGGATACATGTAGCCTGCAGTTGGAAAGTCGTTAATATAAAGGAAAAGAAAAGAAAAAACTTTAAAAAATTCCTTCTTGAGACAGTCTGAGTTTATATTGTTTGGAGATTTAGAGACAGTTTGAATTTTATATCTATTTTATGTTCTACTTGCTTGTAGCTTCTTAAAGTTCTAATCAAACTTCAAGTTTAAAGAACTTATCTAGTTGATGTTTTTAATTTCTTGATTTATTCACACCATACTACTTGCATTCTATATTCTCTATTCTACCTGAAATTATTTTGTCAAGTCTTTTTTTTTCTTCTAAATTTATTGTTTACCTAAAACAGTGTTTACTTCGAAACAAGCTATGGAATGCTATCCCTGATGTTCTGAGAAAACAGAATTTCTAAAATCCTATTTAGTTTATATTATTCAGCATTTCTCAGCCTTATTTGAACATGAAATAAAAAATAATTTTTTGGAAACAGCATTTAATTTCTTGTAGCAGTGGAGTACCTCTCCCACCTCCCCCACACCCCTAATCACTCCCTTCATTCAGTAAACCTAGATCCAAATTGCTTCTGACACATTAAAAAGTGTTAAGATTTGATACTACTGAAGCCATATGTAAAACCTCAGAGTCTGAAGTTGATTATAAAAAAGGGTAGCCTCATTTTTTTTAAAGATGGCAGCAGGGTCAAAAAGTTGCTTGTGCCACCTGAAAGCAGTGGCAAATGGTACATGCCTTTTGGGTGATGCATTATATGCCAGAGTGATTTTAAAGTATGGGGAGGTGGTTTGCAATGCTCCAGTGACCTCATATTTTTGTTTCCTTCTCTCCAAATTTATTTTCCAGGTACTTTTGGAGACTCTATTTAGACCTAGTTAGAGTAAAGCGTGGCTTATCCTACAGGACATTCTCTTGTCACCATCCAGGGAGAAGGATTCCTCTTCTGCCTCATCCTTCAGCTGCTACTGCAAGATAAGATGGGATAAGAGCAAGAGCCAAGCAAACACAGAACTACTGGGAAAGAGTACATAGCTAGGCTACTTTTTATTATTCCTACTCAACAACTGGATGTTCATTTTGATAAACATGGGAAACCATGACGCTAACAGCTTCGTATCTTCCTAGGATCCTAAGAGTTGGCACTTCTGTGGTGGCTTCACTCCACATGCTTCTGTGGCTCTTCTCCCCTCCACATGTCTTTCCTCTTCCAGGCATATAATCTATCTTCATGGTTTCTGAGTATCAATTGATGTTAAGGGGAAAAATCATCTTTCTTAGCACTCTTGAGGTCAAATGAAATGGGCCCAATGGAAATGCTAAGGAGATGGAGGTGGATGAGACAATCTTTCATGAAAAATAAAAACTTTTCCAGTATAATTTTCCCAGTCTTGGGTATTTTTCTTTTATATTATAGAAAATGAGCAATGAGGAATAGTACAACATCAGAGATAGATAAAAATGGACTCAACTAGAAATGTTAGCACATAATGTACCACAAAAGTATTAGAAAGGGGATATGAGATGAATATCAATGAACTCTCTTTATGATCATCTCAGTGATGGAGACTACTGAGTTTCAGAAGAAAACAATCACAGCACATAATGGAGACACAGTATATACTCACTAAATTAAAAAAAAATGAGTTCCTTAAGATCCTATAGATACCTACTACCTACCTACCTGGTTACTTTCCTTAGCATTAATTTATGACCATCTATGCCTTATTAATTCAGTGAGGAGAACTGTGATTGCAAAATTTGTTACGGACATCACCCAAATGTTTCAGGGACAGAGGTAAGCAATAGAAGGACATTCCGTGAAGGTGGAAAAAAACTGTTGTGAAATTAAGGACATAGCAGACACTGTAAAGTTGTGGACAGGGCTGAGTTTGCATACACATTTAAGCAAGTTTTGCATGAACACAGAA